ACATGCAAAAGCAACAATGCTTCATTTGATATGTTTGTAAATCAGCTTATTTTCTCCATATATATATATAGTTACTACAAATCCAATTTAGTAGTACTTCACTTCATTTTTCGACATTGGCATTTCCTGATTTCCTTAGTCGATGGTCTGTGAGCTGTCGAACATCTTTGCTTTAAATCAAGCCAGTGAATTTTGAAGAAATGTGTCCAAGAAGCTTAGTAAAATGCTGATTGCTTTATTATTTTTTAAAGACATCCTGATTCTGACTAGTCGCTAAACTCTATTGCCACACACCCGAAGAAAGATCTTGTATGTAACGCAAAAAATTCTTTTTTGAGAAACAGATGCTTCCGAGCAATTGTCAGTTCTAGCATTTTTTTTATTTGTCTTCAAGTTAATCAGAGAAACCGTAATTCCAGACCAGCACAAGTTCCTGTTTCCCGTACTCCTGTCGCGAGTAGCTCTCAGCTTTGGGATGATGATGAGCCTGAATTTGGCGGCTATGCTGACCATTTACATCATCCAGTTCGTCCCACGCAGCTTGGAAATGGTCGACCGGAAGAGGGCTTTCCTAACGGCCATCCCGTACGTCAAGACTGGCGGTCTGCTAAGCCAGCTGAGGTTGAAGTCGACTTCGAAGAGGTTGAGGACGCATTATCTTCGGTTCCGTCTCCCAGCGATGAGGGCTCCTACCAAGCAGAGCTTAGTGAAACTGGAGACGTGGCTATTGACCAGAGGTACTCGCTGATTCCAAAAGGCCTGCGGTCTGACACTAGAAACTTAGGCCATGACGACCAGTCTGGCGCTTTTCAGAGATTGTTTCCTCTTCCATTAGCGCAGAGACGACCACTACTTCCGGCACGGCAACAGCGGGACACAGATGCGCTTATCTACAATTCATCACAACAGTCAGACTCACGTATCAGTGGAGAGCCGACAGTAATCTAAACAAAGAAGTGTTCAATCTTCTCGTTATTCCTTCCGCAATTGGGGGCTTAGCCTTGTGTTAATGGCGGCTTATTGCTTCGCTTTGCTTTCACTATTTTAGAACTTAGCAAGAGGCCCTGAAATTTTTTCAATGAAATCAATCTGTATTACAATATCCATGTTAAAATGCTGTATTAGCACCATCTAATTTACAAAAATGAGTAACTAATAATATTGCTCATCCTTGACATTATGCACCATTTTATACATTTTGGAGAATTCTTCGTTCTATTTTATATTGCTCTATTTCCTATGAGGTTCCAAATACATTTCTTGTATTCTTTCACAAATAAACGTTAGATCTTAATATCCAAAACTTTCATCATGTACAACTATCTACGACCTTACCTAGACCTACATTTTCGAAAATTGATATAGTTTATTCATCTCTTTTGGCAATCCATTTTTCTTCCTGTCTGCAACTGAATTGTGGTCATCCATAAATTGATGAGATCATATAAAAGAGTAATAATTTGGCCTTTATATAACCTTGATGCTAATACAGTCAGCAAGATGTGATCCCTATCTAAGCTAGATTTTTCACATTGTTTTTATTGTTTCTTCTGTCAGCACATAGGATGTTACTTAAAGTATTTTGCTTATAGGTCTTAATAATGGAAAAGTAAACGTAAAATATTCAAGTGAAAGCAAATTTATAAGTGCTACTAATCATATTGATTGCAACTGTCAAGTGGTACATATTGTCCAG